TTTGTAGTAAACGCTTTTTTTCTCAGTAATTGTTTTTTACCTGACTTTTGACTACTATGCTAACCTGATACTTTTATGCTAGAAGATATTTGATATAGCTAGCTATGGTTCATTCGAAAGACCATTGATAGGTTGTTACCAGGCATGGCCAAAAATACTCTCATCAATAAGGCAATGTCATCAGAAACTTTTAAGAGTAGAAATACTGATCATGTTATGTGCAATGTTAGAGAGGTATTAATCAGGAGAGGGCAACTCAATGAAGTTTACTTGGGAAGTAGCAGTGGTATATTCAAAACCCTCTAAGAGAAAAATCTGGCAAAAGCAACTCCCACATACACAAGCAGGTTACTTTACTGTCATTGGGGCCAAATATAGGGGCAATCTGAAACCTTCCTGCCTCCCTTACTACGTGGTCTGAACCTTATGTTTGTCAGTAGAAACAAAAAGCCCCCCATTTAACTGGTAGGAGTGCCTGAATTAAGAGTCATTGATTGGCTGGCTGAGAGGCTAAGTTGGAAACAGTATCACACTGTGTCCTCAGCTTATACAGTTTCCACCTGAAAGGCTTCCATAATCTTAAATTTCACTTTCTTTTCAGAAACACAATGTGTGATCATAGAATTGTACTTCTATATGGAAGACAGAAATTAAAGTGTTTCCTTTCCTAAAACATTGTGAACTATGATTTTGTAATGATCATAAGAGAAATTGAATTATTTCAGGAAACATCATCTTTTCATCCTGTAATCCCAAGATGACTTTAAAGATCTCTCTAAGGGCCACTCTTGGTTAATTGGTGGGGTTTCTATCGGGATTACTATATTTATACTGTGTATTTTATGGGAAGTAATCCCTACAATGGATGTCATGCAAATGGACTTTAAATGCTGTATTGAACAAACTAAATGTATTTGGTTCCACCTCTGTGACAAAAATTAGAATGGACAATAAAATGGCAACCTCAAAAAATTCTCTCGAAGTAAAGACAGTATAGAAAGAAAAAGTGGATATTTTGGGGATAAATTTTCAGTGGGCCTCTCTTGCATCTGCTATTTTGCAACTAAGTCACCAGCTGCATTTTGTTCTGAGAAATCTTTTTAAGAATGTTTGTGTAGGGATGTAGGGAACTGCCTTGGAAGATAGTGTCTCTTTCAGGAACAAAGAAAACATTTGCTTACAGCTTGGAAGATAAGAGATCATATATCCCTTTGGAATAAAGAGCAGAAATGTTTGTACACAAAATATTTAGATTGCCCAAAATCACAATTCCTTTTATATGAAAATCCCCTCTGCATTGGCATGTGTCTGCTGGCTCTCCTTCCATCATTCTATACAACCCCTGATACTCAGGTTTTCGCCCTCACTGGGAGTAAGAATATTTCCTTCTGTCTCTGACCAAGGAATCTTATATCTTCTACCAGGATCCATGAAATTTTGGCAGGCATAAGTGTTTGTTGCAAATAGTGCTAAATATCAGATTGTTTCCAGATCAGTACAACTAAAAATTCCATCTGGATAATTCAGATTAAAAATGGCACCCTCCCACCATGGCACGCCACTGTCTCAACTGACCAGCACACAACTACAGCTACCATGAAGTTCATGGTTTATAGGCTGTAAGTGCATAGATTAATTGGATAATTACCAATTAAGAGAGATATTGAAACAACACTTCTATTAATAAATAATTATCTTTTTTGGTGATCTATTAAATTTTTGAGGAACATCTTCACTCCAATCCAACCCATTGTTTTTGTAGACAAGATTGAATTTTGCTGCACAATTCTCTATTTATGCATGAAAGCACTTCCAATTTGGTGGTGATAGTCCTGAACCTTTTTCCATTTTGAATGATACCACTGGCAATGGCAATAGCATTCTTAAACCATCACACAGAAAGAACTATTGACATTCTAAATAGTATGTAATAAATATATTTAAAAGGTAGGATTGCTAGAGGTACAGAAGTTGATGATCATTAATGGAAATACAGTAATGTAAGTCTCAGGGCAGAATATCTCTGAAAAATGTAGTCTTTATATATAATATAGAATTGACTAACATAATTAAAAAGGGAATTTGACTTCTTGTAGCAACTGGCTGGCAGTGAATAGAGGGAAAACAAAAACAAAAACAAAAAAACACCATCAAGTTGTTGTTATAGGAGTGGATGAATAGTGACCAACATGACACCTGGAAATCAATATCTATAGAATCCTGTAGAAGATATCTGAAATATGCTTACATTCACAAACCAGTACACCCTAAACTTACTGGTCAGTGTCATCTGGTCAAAGGACCCGTGACTGGGAATATGCAGTACATGGTCAAAGGTCACATCTGCTGCAAAGAACTGAAGAATGGTACTGTAATTTTAATTGATGTATGGTATGTAAAACATTGCTTTACTTTCTGCTACATGTATGTATTATAACAAAAGGTTATAATTTTATTGTCAAAATTAAATGTAATTCAGACTCTTGTACACCATGAATCATAGAATGAGTGAATATTTCTGGAAGCTTATTTAAAGCCTCTAATTAATGTAATACTTATGAAGACTTACTGGCTAGAAAAATACATTTGGCTTTTAAAACACCGCATGCCCTATTATAATCTTACAAATATTCAAATGACTATGAATAAACAAAAAAAATGAGCTAGAAATACACAATTAAAAGGTCTTAGAAGGAACACAGCTATTAATAAAAAGATTATGGCAATAACTCCTGAACCCTGTTTTGTTTCAAATCCAGATGGACATTGGGGTTTGAAGTACATTTTTTTGAATAAAATTTTGAGGAAACTTTAAGACACATAAAAACACAACTGAGACATATGTGTCAAAGAGATATTGACAGAGCTTGGAAAGTGTCTCCAGAAGAAAAAAGTTACCCAGAGCCCTATGATCCATTCTGATCAAATCCCCTTGAAGATATGCTAATAAAAGATATTTAACAAAATATACTGATGGTATTTACTAATATCATATACATTATTTGACTAGGAGTTCTTATGACAAACTTGTAATCCATAGATTTTGGAGAGGAGGGAATATAGCTTCCTGTAATATGTCATGAAAGCTTTGGTATGTAAAATAAGCCTGTTTATTGATGAAAATGACTGCCTTTTATGTAAACAATAATAACATATAGCACTTAGAAAACTCATATATTATAGCTAGACGTCATTGTTTCCTTAAGGAGGGTGGAAATAAAATAGGAAAATACATCTGTAGCTCTAGACTTGCCGCTTCATCTGTGCTTCACGACTACTTCTACTTTGAAAGAAATATTAAAGTTTGATATTGGGTAAGATCTGAGATTCCTGTATCTGATTTGATGATATGATATTTTCTGTTATCTCAATGTACATACATCTCAATGCATAATTTGGTGAAAGGCAATACACATGTTACCTGAATAATACAAGTTTCCATTGGAGTTTTGTTTCATTGTGTTTTGTTTTTTATTAAAGGAAAAGAAAGAGGAGAAATAAACTGTCATTACTCAAGGAGAGCGTGCATGGTACAACCTTCCGGCTCTAAGTCCAAAGTTTGATTTCTCGTACTTGAAGCTCGTGATATTTTGTTTGCTCAAGAATGGGAAGGACGGGGTGGTTAACAGACTTCTTGTTGGAATTATTTAACAGACTTATGTAATTTCCTGAGTCTATTTTCTTTTCCATGTTTCAATTGTGTGATGGGAAAGTGAGTCATTTTTCTAAGGACTAAAATACAATATAAGAATAAACTTTATAATTCCAAAGAGTTTGAAGAAAAGAATTTTTGACCAAAAATAGACATATTTTCCCTTCATTGTTGTCATCTACAAACATCCAAGGCACTTTTCTACTTATGAGGTTCTTGAGTCTTGGTTCACACTCTTTCTTTCTACCCCTTTTCCTCCATGGGATCCATATCCATATGGAAAAGTTGCCCATAATTCTGGTCTCCAAATTTGTGTAGCCCACCAACTAAATTATAATTTATTTTCCACCTTTATCCCCCAATCTCATAGCCATACTTTTCAACCTGTCAATATAATAGCATAATTTCTGAAATACCTAATTCAAGTATCCTGTGATTTGAAACCCCCTCCTATATTTCTTGTTCACTTAAGTGGTAACACTTTCAAAATCTCTAATCTATAATTCCAAGACACTAAAAGTTTTAAAAGAAAATGGTGCTTTCATAAATTTGGTGCTAAAACACTTTGTGGTAAAACCTTACATGATTGACTTCATTCATCACGTTTTTATGGTCATTATTTTTCTTATTTGATGTGACTATGCATTTGTTCAGAGCAGAAAAAGAATCATATTTGATTAGCAGGTTTTCTCCAATGCTTCTTGGAGGTGTTACATTAAAAACTTAATTATTTAAGCCTAAAACATGCTGAATTATGAAACATATTTGGTTCCAAGGATTTCAGACAAGTGATTGGATACCAGGAATACAATATTTATTTGAACTCACCAAGACTTAAAATCCTGCGTTCAGCTACTTTTTATCTTATTATCACCATGCATCATCTTTCATGCCTCTTGTTTAGAATAACAAGTCCACCATTACAAGAAAAGGTTGCAAACACAAGGAAATTTTTCTTCTTATCAACAAAACAAAACAGATAACTCGTCTGTGTTTTTCCTGAGTGCATCTCTGCAGTTGAAATATCATGACCACCAGTCCTCTTTAAATTCATCTTAAGAGAGGAAACCACAGGCACTCAGCTTGCCTTCTAGCAATGGAAAATTCCTTAAGCCAAGCATTTCCTAATTGCTTTACCCTCCTTTGAACTCACTCAGTTTCTCTCGCGTTGCTCTTGACTGATAATCAGATGTACTTACCTCCACCTATTATCCAGGCAATTGAAAGGCTCAAATAGAACATGTCATGCTTCTCCCCAACCAAACCCAGACTTTTGTCTTCAGTTCCTCCCTCTCATTCAATTTCAGTTTTTAAACAACGCATATTAACCTGAAATTCTCGTACTTACTTGTTAACTTGACTGTTGTCTGTCTTCATTACAGCTGGATTAGAAACTACAATAAAGAAAAAAAAACTTCAGCCTTATTCCTTTTGAAATTCCCAGGTCTAGAATAGTTCTTGTAACAGAGTAGGTGCTTAATTTAATAATATAATTTAATCTTAGAATCCTGTTTTATTACAATCTACTTAAAGTGAACTCCTAGTTGTAGGTGAGTGAGTCTAATTTAAAATAAAGAGAGAAAAGGTTCCTTTTTTTTTCTGGGCCAACAATCTTAAAATACAAATTTAAAACTGTGCCTTCAGTTTTGCTTCTCATTAGATACAAAATTGGCGCTTGATAAAATAAGTTATATTTACTTTTCTTGGAAGCATTTCCATTTGAATTATGTTGAATTACCTGAAGCAACAGACCATTTTCAAGATATAAAAATTGTTAAAAATTAGATGTATTTCTTATGCCAGATTAAAATTCTCCTCTTTAAGGCTTTAATACTTTATGAGCTTGTCAGGTTTAGAATTTGGTTCTATCTAATCTGAAGGTTAATTACTGTTTATGTGAGAAAGTTTATTCATCTAATATTTCTTTGCACAAAAAATGCTAGTTTTAGATCTGAGACTTCAAGTGTAAAACTAAAGTCATTAAGTATAGTAAGGACAATGTTTTTCAGGGTCCTTCCAGATGCCTATCTTTGTGATTATATTCATTAAAGAAGAAGAAAGGAAAGAAACAAGAGAAGAAGAAAAGAATGAGAAGAGGAGAAAGACAAGAAGAAGAGTGAGCAGGAGGAAAGATGAAGTAGGCGCTAGAGAAGCTAAAGGCACACAGTCTCCCGCATTAGCTTGTGTACTGTAAAGCTACAATCATGAAGTTTTATCTCATAGCCTCTTTATATGCTGCTCTTGGAATATATGGGCCTTAAAACACATTTCAGAAGGTTTTGTTAGTTCCCTAGATGCTGAATTAAGGGCCGGCACAATTTTGCGTTGCATAAAGCTGCCACCCAGGGCTCCAGACCCTTTTTTTAGTGTCCTTTTCCTCAGTCAATGTCTCACATTTCCTGCTTATTCCCTCTCTCCCAATACTTGACTGTGCTTATTACTGATTCACACTTTAGATTCAAACTATGGGTTTTTTTTTGTTTTTCCATTCTCTAACGAAACTGTGCTTTTCTCAATAACTGTAAGCCTTATACTAAGATAAAACCTGGGAGTAAAGTTGTTCTAATTTCTTTGACCAAGCATAGGTAAATGGAAGGAGAAAACAGAAAATTCAAAAGTTGCTCCCCCCACCACCCCCACATAACCAGTTTCTTGATCAAAAAAATAGCAAGGTTGGGAATTCATATTTTTGCATAAGAAGCTATCATGCAATCAGGGATCGTATAGATAGCAAGCTGTTACAACACAGAATCATATCTATTTCTTGGAACAAGAAATAGAAGAAACTGTAAAAGTGCACTGCAGATGGTCCCTTATCAATTTCTAGCTACCAACAGCCACGGAAGCAATTATAACATTTAAAATACTGATTCCTTATAATTCACTCTATCAGGGTAGTCTCCCCTGGAAGCACCCACACTTTTATCAGAACATCATAATTAGGCCTGCGTGGGTCTTTACCATATTTCATTACACTTGAGTATACAATGTGTGAAGCATTCATCTACCATCTTCACTGTAATGTGTGCTTTAACATCAGTGAGCATTTCTATCCCAAAGACAGTCAACATGTGTGTTTTGACTAAGTATCAAAACTTCTGAGTGTTTAACAGTTATCAATTCTCATGACAAATAATATTCTAAACAGTAAAACACCTGCCAATAAACATCTTGGACATCTGTAAAATTGCTCAAAGCTTAGGCTTACAAATTAAATAATAAAATCAGGCCTTGTAAATTACTGAGTACAAAGGCGGAGCATGGGATTGTGGACAAATGTAATACGTTGAGCTATTATACCCTTTGTATAAGTTCACGAAAGTAATTTGATTTTACAAAGTGGGGATTTTATTGTTAGTAGTGAATGAATTGACTCTCAGAGAGTTAACATCTAAATTGGAGTTCAAGTCTTCAGATAACTTCCAGGTATAATCAATAGTAGTTTGAAGTAAAGTACTGAGACAAACTGAGATAAATTCATCAAAAGGAAATAGATTATAAACAACTAAAATTACTTTATGAAGACTGATTAGGACCACCAAAACAACAGTTCAACATTGCTAAAATTGTAGGTTAAATTGTATAGATTTGGTTGGTAAAATTAAGCAGGATCAATAATTGGAGGAGTAATCAAAAATTATCACTTCAGAATGATACTACAATGAGAGGATTTTCTAAAACAAACAAACAAAAAAACATGGTGTCTGTGGCATCCATTCATGTTTTGTGGTATTTTTTATGTTAAATTCAGAAAGAGAGAAAACCGTCTTATGATTAAGACTGAAAAGCATAATCAGTGAAGATAAAATCTGTAAATGTGTAGGTAAATCTAAACAATTGTTGACACGAAAACTTAAATGTCCTCCCTGTATTGATGACTTTTAGATAAAATAAGAGTAGTGGATAATAAATTTTTATTATTGAGTGATAGGAAAAGAAATATTTAAATATAGTATGTTGAGGACATTGCATCATTTGAAAAGAAGTTGGATAACATTACTTCAAATTTTAGTGAAATATATATAATTTTAATAGCTACTTAGAAAAGAGAAATAAAGTACAAAACTTCAAAATCATAGAAGAAACATGTAATAAGCACGTAGTATATATGACTGAAGAGAAAATATAAAAACATTGAAATGTAATATGGGTTAAATCTTAATATATAATATTTCCATATTAATAAAAATGCTTATAACTGAATCATAATGCAAATGCTACTGATACAGATTGTGGGATGCTGACCAAATGATACTTAGAAGAATATTTATCCTTTAAAATCTTGTATATGAAAAAAATGTATTGCACTTAGTTACATTTGAATGATAAATAGGCTAAAATAATATGAAATAGGAGTATCATTTAAAGAAACAAGAAAAAAGAGATACAAGAATGATGCAAGGACATTATAGTTTATTGAAAGATTGCTGAAACAGGAAACAAATATTTAATAGAGATGAACAGCAAAGCCCAAAGACATTTCTTTGAGTAGAAAAGAGCAACCAACATTTGCAGCAGCAATTTTATGTTGTCAATGTCAGATTGGTTTTTGCTAATATTCCTTTGGAGTTCTATCTGATGTAATGAAAACATTTTATGTTCTTCCATTATTTGTGCTATATAGTTTAGACTGACATAATTCATCACTTTATATATTCTTCCCCTCTACCCACCTTCTGAATCACGGTAGGTAATAACCTTTCTTACCTTTTTTTTGTATTGTGGAGAATACTTAAAAAAAAAAAAAAAAAAAAAAAAAAAAAAAAAAAAAAAAAAACGGAGATAGCTAGATCATAGGGCAGTTCTGTTTTTAATGTTTTGAGAAACCTCCTTTTTTTTTTTTTTAATGACTGTACTAGTTTACATTTCTACCAACAGTGGGCAACAGTTTCCTTTTCAACACATCTTCACCAACACTTGTTATTTTTTATCTTGTTTAATTATAACCAATGTGAGTTGATATATCTCATTATGGTTTTAATTTGCATTTCCTTGATGATTAGTGATGTTGAGAATTTTTTCTTATACCCTCTGGCTATCTGTATGTCTTCTAAAGGAAATAAAACCAATATGTTGAAGAGGTACCTGCACATTCATGTTCATGGCAGCATTCTTCACAGTAGCCAAGATATTAAATCAGTCTAAGCATCCAAGAAGGAAATCCCATCATTTTTGGCAACATGGATGCATCTGGAAAACCTTAAGTTAAAGAAGCCAGCCATAGAAAGACAAATACCACAAGATCTCACTTATATGTGGAATCTCAAAATGTCAAACTCACAGAAGCAGAGGTAGAACTGTTGGTTAAAAGGGAGTTGGCCAATGGGTGGGTGGGTGGATGGTTGGGGCAGACTGAGGAGGTGATGGTCAAAGAATACAAATTTTCACTTAGGCAAAAATAATAAGTTTAAGAGAGCTATTGTATAACATGGAAACTATAGTTAATAACAATGAATCGTGTACTCAAAAATAACTAACAGAGTTAATGTTAAATGTTCTCATCACAAAAACATAATAAGTATTTGAGGTAATGCCCGGCCTGTGAAAATTAGTTTGATTTGGTCCTTCCACAATGTATGTATGTATGTATATATACATACACACACACATTATATATGCATACATATATATATCAAAATGTCTTATTGTATGTGACAAGTATAACTTTTTTGAGAATTTTAAAGTAATTAAATACATATAAAAAGGATGAAAACAAAAAATGTATATAATATTAGAAAGGAAAGCATAAACATAAGTAGATATACCATGACCATAAAATTTTAATTATTAAATTTCTCTACTATTAGCATAAAGATTGACAAATCAAGTAATAGGGTGGTGGAGAACCAGACTCAATCTTTCTATACAACAAGGTAAAGGTTGGTCAATTCCGCAAATAACACTAATGAAAGTCAATAATGTAGATCAAAATATATCACAATCTTAAGCAATATATAAAAATGAATTCAAGATGAATTAAAGACATACTTGAAAATCTGTATAAATTTTTAGAGCAGTAAGGTGTTATGTTTATGCTTTGAAGGTTGTAAAAAATGTATTTAAAATCAACACAAATCAAGGAATAAATGATAAATTAGAATACATCAACATTTAAAATTTTTCCTCCTAAAAAGATGTCCTAATCTGCAAGAAAGTATTTTTAACACATAAACTAGATTAATAGTCATAACATTCATAAGATTCAAAAATCAAAAGAAAAAACAAAAAAGTCCACATTTGTGTATACATTTAAGAGAATAATCTCACCCAAAACAAGAGTAAATCCCTATTTCCAAAAAGAACATTTGGGAAAACAGCCTAATATTTAAATATTTCTGTAAATAAATATTATAAAATAGTAATCCACAATAAAACTGAATAAACTGAAGCTACA